GCACTGGTGAAGATAGACGAGCAGAGAGGCTCTGATGCCAACGGCGAGCGTGACAGGGCATCGGCGTCGGATTGCTTCCAGCCAGAACGGTAGATAACACGGATATCGAATTCCTGTAACCGCAATGCCCAACAAGCGAGCCGACCATTAGGATCTTTTAGTGACGATAACCAGCAAAGCGCATGGTGGTCTGTCACAATATCAAACGGACGTCCATTCATATAAGATCGAAATTTTGCGATCACCCAAATAATTGTGAGGCACTCATTTTCAGTGACACTGTAATACATCTTGGCTTTACTGAGGGTGCGGCTGGTATAGGCAACGTCGTACTCGTCAAAGCCACCAAAACATCCTAATCTCATCTGCCCACCTAACCTTCTGTCTCCCCCTAAACCGCTTGCCTTCTCTAGGAATCCAGTTAGTTAGCCTAAATGACCAGTGGTTATCCTGTCTACGCGCTACATGCCTGGCCCATGTTCATTTCCTCTTTCTGATTTCAACTATCATAACCTTAAGCCCATTTTGTTCCCTAATCCACTCATTTCTCAAAAAATGGTAGGTTACACCTACCATTTTTCTTTCCATTGCTCGCGGCGTCTTCCTCAATTTAGGCTGAACCCTCTTAGTAAGTCTCCAGGTTTCTGCTCCATAGCTAAGTATTCTAGCTAAAACCAACATGCATAACAGAAAGTGCTGCATCCGTATCCACAAGAGCATCGACACGCACTCCTTCCACTTTCACAGAAATCATGTAATACGGGCCTGATGGAGACATTTCAGTTCTTATTTCGAATGCAGTTTCTCCTGCACAAAATAATCATTTAGTTTTCCGCATGACTATTAGACGAGAATGATGCGGGTCGAAGTGGAAAAGAGGAAAGGCGGAAGGGCGAAGGCGAGTGGCGTCTCGTGTTTCCGCTGTTCCGCGGTGCATTCGATGCCGGTGGAGATGGAGACCGCTGCCGAGGAGACTGACGCTGACCTTGATAAGAGGCCCCAGTAGACCAATCTCGTTCACGCACGTCGTAACCCTGACGCTCATCTTGCTGGTGGTTTCGGCAAAAACGAGATATATGGCCGCAATAGCCGCAGTAATAGCAGACAGGGTGGGACGAGCACCAGGGTGGAGAGTAGAAGGTGTTAGGGGCACCTGAAGATAGCGCGCTGAGGTGAACCGAAGAAAGTTCAGGTGGCATCAAACAGTAGTTGACCGGGGGAGTGGCAGCAACCGATGCGTAGGATGGTTGCGGCAATGTCACGTGTACATTGCTCGGAGGCGCGGCAGTTACTTGAGCGTAGGCTGATATGGGGCGAGAAACAGGTGGTTGTACGAGGTCAGGGCTGGTTAGGGATGTAAGTTCATCCTTAATGAGGTCACGCAAAGGAACTACCGAAGACTGTGTTGAACATGCTGAAGGAGGTGTGAAGCCCAAAGACCGCAATTATTCTCGTATAATGTCCCGGATGAGGTCACGCAAATGGCGGTGGGACGTGAAGTGGTGGCTCGCCAATGTCCGGTAGGAAACTGGCGGAGTCCAGTGAATCAAAGCGCTGGCATGTTGCAATGACGTCAGCGATGGTAGCTGGATTTTACGCAGCGAGGGCATTAAAAGCAACAGGTCAAATGCCTTTCAAGATGTTGCGTACTTTTTCTCAGTCCGGCATAGATGAATTAACACGCCGGCACAGTGAAGGGACATCCTCGATTTAGAAAGTGTAAGATTCACCGAGATGTCGGCGAGTATCGAGGGTCCTCTTCGCGATGGTGGAACAGATGGCCAGTGTCCCGAAAACATGTCGCAGCTGGTGCTGGAAGGTCGCCCAGTCGGGTAAGTCAATGACGTGGTTGAAATACAATGTCTTCGCCACACCGGTCAAGTAGAAAAAGACGTAGCGGAGCTTGACGCTATCGTCCCAGTGATTAGCAACACTCACGCGGCTGTACTCATCGAGCCAGTCCTCCACGTCTTCCCCGCGAAGTCTGGCGAAGAGAGGGGGATCACGGTGGTGGCTCTCTACGCACATACGAGGCGCGGCTGAAGACGGCGGGGGAGAGATGGCAGCAGCGATGGCAGCAGCACCGGCAGGCTCGTTCTGGGACGTGCTGCCAGACAGTGGGGGCAATCGGTGGCCTGAAGGCAGCTCCAGGGAGTCGAGCGAAGTGGGAGAGAACCTAGGACTGAAAATCCACCTCCACCACGTATGGCGTCTGGGTTGAGACAGCGTTTATTCAGCCAAAGGGCTCATCAGCGAACGCGAAGTTTGAGAACGAGCGCGCACACGCCCGAGGATGATTGTGTTGACCCCCAGTGAAGATGAGGACAGGGACCCAGACGGATGATGATGAATATGACAATGCATATATGAGAAGCGCATAACGAATGCTCACAATACATAAGAGAGGTGATGACAAAGACTTGAAGAATCACAGACCGAACAGCTTGCTCACCATCGTATACAAACTATTTATAAAGGTAATTACCAACAGAATTAAGACAACTTTATAATTCAATCAACCAAAGAAACAAGCAGAATTTCAAACAGGCTACTCAACAATCGACCACATTCATACTATTATTCAGGTAATAAAAATGCTCAGAATACTACCAAACGCTATACACAGCCTTCCTAGAGAACGACAAGGCGTTTGATTCCGTAAAAATATCAGCAGTCATGCAGAAAAAGTGGAATCAGGGCGTCGACGAAACATATATAAACATTCTGGAAGAAATCTACAGGGGATCAACTGCAACCATAGTGCTCCATAAAGAAAACAACAAATACCAATCAAGAAGGGTGTAAGGCAGGGAGACACAATCTCGCCAATGCTAATTACCGCGTGCTCACAGGATGTTTTCAGAGGCGTGGAGTGGGAAGAGTTAGGGATAAGAGTTAATGGAGATTACCTTGGTAACCTGCGTTTTGCCGATGACATTGCATTGCTGAGTAACTCAGGGGACGAATTGCAACTCATGATTACGGAGTTAGAGAAAGACAGCAGAAAGGTAGGTCTTAAAATTAATCTGCAGAAAACGAAAGTAATGTACAACAACCTCGGAAAAGAGCAGCGCTTCGAGATAGGTAACAGTGCACTTCAAGTGGTAAAAGACTATGTCTACTTAGGGTAGGTAATAACCGCGGAGCCAAATCACGAGACTGAAGTAACTAGAAGAATAAGAATGGGGTGGAGCACATTTGGCAAGCACTCCTAAATTATGACAGTTAGAATGCCACTATCTCTCATGAGGAAGGTATATACCAGCTGTATCTTGCCGGTACTTAGCTACGGAGCAGAAACCAGGAGACTTACAAAGAGGGTTCAGCTTAAGTTCAGAACGACGCAGCGAGCAATGGAAAAAAAATGGTAGGTGTAACCTTAAGAGACAAGAAGAGAGCAGAGTAGATTAGAAAACAACCCGGAATAAGGACATAAAAGTTGAAATCAAGAAGGTGAAATGGACATGGGCCGGGCATACAGAGCGTAGGCAAAATAACCACTGGTCAATAAGGGTAACTGACTGGATTCCCAGAGAAGGCAAGCGGGTTAGGTGGTAACAGAAAGTGAGGCGGGCAGATGAGAATAAAAAGTTTGCGGGTAGAACGTGGCCGCAGCGAGCACAGAACCAAGTGGACTGGCGGAACATGGGAGAGGCTTTTGTCCTGCAGGGGACGTAGTAAGGCTGCTGCTGAAGATGATGTCGCATTAAGACAACAAACGCGCCGCAAAACTTAAGGTCTTTGAATGGCGCCTCTGAAGGTTAGACGTCTACACCGAAAATTCATGAGATGGTATCTCCACAGATCAGAGGTCACCACGTCGCTCTCAATGACCGTCCTAATGTCCCTGCGATTTGCTGCTAGGTTCACGAAGAACGTAACGCGCGCGCAAGCGTGCCCCTGCTAGCCCGGCCACAGTATACTCCCATTCATGCCGGGGGAAGACGTCTCAGTTTCGCTTCTTTTAAATCGCTTAGATATGTGCAGGGCGTTGAAGTCACACGCGAAAACGTGACCGATGGTACCTATTTTCATTTTATTTTTATTAAGTACATACTGCTATACCGAACCCAGCTGGAGGGGTGAAAAAGGGGAACACAGTGAAAACAAATGGATGACGTTTGTACAACAGTTTTCTTACTATCCTACGTAATAACTGAAAAAGAAGTACGTACTAAATAGAGGGTAATAAATATACACTAATAGAAAAAAAGAAAAAAGTGCACAGATTGCTTGAAACAATCTTAAGCAAAGAAGTAACACAACACAACTGAACTCATGATATGACCTTATGTAGCATGGTGTCAATAATGTTGGCTAAGAAAACAGATGCATGAATTTTTCGAAATCACGAATGCCAAGTTCAGGTAAAGCATATGTAGGCAGTGTATTCCAAGCGCTAATGGTTCGTGGAAAGAAGGAGTGTTTGAAAAGGTTAGTACGCGCGAAGCATGGTGTCAGATCATGATTGTGATTATGTCTGGTTTGCCTGGAAGAAGACAGAGATAGGTATTCATGAGGGTCGATATTAAACTGGCGATTTAGAAGTAGGAAAAAAAACTTGAGCCTGGCGATAGCTCTATGCTGTTTCAAAAGTGGAATGCTGTTTGTAGCCATAAGTGACGAAGGTGAATCAACAATGTGTAGGCATTATATAAGAGTCTTACCGCCCTTCTCTGGACCATTTCAAGTTTATAAATGTCTTTTTTTAAATGGGTCCCAGGCCACGCACTCGTACTCAAGACAGGGTCGTAGAAATACACAGTATGCAAGAAGCTTAATTTTTGATGGCGCGTTTTTTAGTTTGTGTCTTGAAACTCTAATTTTCTAGAAGCGGATGAACTGGCGGAGGAACAGCAATATTACTCGGCTACATCTTTTCAATTACCAATACGTAATCACGTTCTTACTGGCATTTCTGAACCTTATTTTTATTTCCACTAGTTCAAAAAACTTGTCCTCCTTTGGCTATTCTGCAAATTAACCTTCTGGGGCTGCAGATTGGTGTCGTTGGCCGTACGGGTGCTGGTAAGAGCTCCATCATCGCTGCGCTGTTCCGAATGACAGAGCCAGATGGAGCCATCCTGATTGACGGCATTGATATCAGATTCATCGGCCTACATGACCTGCGCCGCAAGATCTCTATCATTCCGCAGGTAATAAGTTTTACGGGTGATTTCAATAAAAAAATTACTTGCAAGAGTTAATTCTATGCAAAGGCCCACTGATGTGTTTCATTTTTGAAATATTATTGTTGTTTCAGGAGCCAGAAAAATAGATTGAATTTTGACACAAAATGACTGATTTCTTACCGTAGCATAAAATATCACTCTGTTTAGATATCGAGACGAAAAAATTCACCGAGGCCAATGATACAATATCAACGTAGTTCGTTAAATATTAACTTTAATAAAAACCACAATGGGCCGCAGATATTCTATTCATTTGCACCAGCCTTCAGGTGTCCTATGTTGTTTCTGTATAGGAACCTAAAAATCAATATGAATATGAGTCGTGAGACTCAGCTACTTTATAGGTGGTGACGTTCCCCTCTCCACTTAGAAGGTTCACTTTCAGAAGTGCTGACGAAAAGGCTCGTTTTCAGAAGTGCTTGGGTCGAAAGTATCAGGCTGTAATTCAATTATTAAATCGAACCCTGCATTACATTGCTTCCGGCGTCACCTAAAACAATCGTTACTAACTACATGCATGACCTGACTATATTTGTGTATTTATGTGCATTGGTTTAAAATACATGTATTTTTGTATTTGTGTATTATCACTATATATGTACATCCATTGATAGGTATTTACATATGTGCTAGTTCGTTATATTGAAAAATCTTTATATTGAATGTTTCTTAGTTGTCAAGTTTTCTTTTACGTTTTTATGATTCTTCTAACAGGAGGTTCTCTGACAGTTTTTACGTTTGGACCTCCTTCTGTATTGATTGCGTTCCAATACTCACCATAGAAAGCTAAATAGACAGTCAAATGAACGGCGGCCCCCTTAAGACCCATTCCAGTTCTCACGTTGCCGGCGAATAGACAGCTCCAAAAAGACCGCATCGTAGACAAATACGGTGCAGCCTACTTTGCGGTCCAAACAAGATGGCGGCTCAGCAAATCACTCAGGTAAAATGTAGCTCACTGGAATGGTCATCTGCACACAAGCAGACGCTTCTGCAGACGCTCAATGTGAGTAACGTGTATTTCTGGGGGGAGGGGGCGGGCATTTCAACATGAAATGAGCCAGGAAATACAACAGTTACGGTTCTTTTTTTAGACTTCTTCTCGACGCGAGGGGGCACCTTGTCACGTAGAACTTTAGTTCGGATTGGCACGGTGCATGGACGTGCTTTTAGAACGCTCCCGATCGACTGCGCAGATAAGCGGTTTTGGATGTTTTGAGCTTGCCTTCATAATTGAAAAGGCAGCAGTTAAAATATTTGTTGCACTTATTACATTGTATGGCTTTTCCGGTGGTCAGTAACCAGGTATTTACTAGTTTGTGCGTGTGAGTGTGAGTGTTTGTTTCTTTGTGTTTTTTTCTCTTGCCACCCCGTGGGGGAGGTGCACGTACATTGAACACGCAAAATTTCGTAGCAGAGCTCAGACTTCTTCTCTTTCGTAGGACAGTAATCGTGTTTTGTAATTATCGAGTGAGACAAGTCATAAGGACAATTGGCGTCATAAAGACATGGTTAAAAAGGCTTTAAAGTGTTCAGCATACGCGGTTGGTTTGAAAACGGACCCAAGTGCAGAAACAAATGAAGAGGAGGCTGACGCGAAGTGTAGGCAGTGTGAGGTCAAGAAAAAAATGGAGAAAACGATGGTTGCCCAGAGTGAACTGCTGTTGAGAATCACCGAGCTGGATACTGCGTTGGTGACAGGGCAAGAGAAAACGAGAGCAATGAGAGAAAGGCTGAAGTCTGCCGAGGAAGCACTAGCCAAGGTGAACAAAGGAGCGGCTGACAGAGCGAACAGTTGGGCACCGGCAACCAGTATGGTGGAAAAGAAAGAATAAGCAAGTTTGGAAAAAAACAGGTTCAGCCGGTTCAATTGTCGCAAGGCCCAGCTTCATCTAAGTAGTGGTGGAGCTGAGAGGGGACAAAGCAGCTGGCTTCACAGGTGCAAGTAACCCCCAGGTGCGGGACGCTGCAGCCGAAAAGTCACAGCATGTGATAATGGCCGGCGACTCGAATTTCATTCGATGCGCAGAACTAATCAAAGAGAGGGTAAGAGATGACAAGATGGTTGCAGTACGGACGTTCCAAGGACGCACGCTTGAAGCTGTCATGAGGCAAGCGAGCGCAAACAGCTGATAGACGAAACTTCGTGACAATTTCAGGCGGTTTAAACGACGTCTTAAATGAAGATGCGGCAGGACTAGCGACCACACTGGCAAAAGGGGTCGATGACATGCGAGCCACTTCTCCTCAGGTACAGGTAGTGATATGCACGATACCAGAGGTACCGATGTGCGACGGCAACCTGCAAAGAGCGGTTTCCAACGCAAATCAAGAGGTATGAGTCGGTAGGCGCAAACCAAGAGGTATGAGAGGATGAGTCGAGAAAAAGGCTTTGAGGTTGTAGAAATAAACAGAGAGCTGCATAGGTGGGGTGGTTTTCAACGAGACATAATTCACTTGGATGGAAGGTTAGGTCATGAGGTGAGTTCGTCACTTGCTTCACTTCACACTTCACTTTCACTTTATTACCTTAAAGACCTCCTAGAGGAGGTATTACAAAAGGGGTGGGAAACATACAACAAATGTAATACATATGCAGGATGGGACAAGTATGAACAGGGGTAACCAATACAGAAATAAAATAATACATGTGCAGGAACAGTATACACATTAACAGGCGTAACACCTTGCCAAAAAAAAGAAGACAAAGTGAGAACCAGTTGCACAAAAAGGAACAATGTAATGTATTCAAAGTGAAAAGAAACGAGTGACAATTTGCGTAAATGTTGAGTGGCACATTATGGTGGCGAGATCAGTGGAAAGGCCATTCCTGTCGGAAGCTGCACGAAAAAAGAAGGAGGCGGAAAATGTCGTGGTACGGGCGCGTGGCCGGCCGACATGAAAGGAATGAGTGGTGCGGTGAGATGTGCGGGCAGGAGGCAAGATATAGGGCGGGTGGCCTTGTTGACTGTGATAGAGCTTGTGGAACAAAATGAGACTAGAAACTCGACGACGAATGTTAAGATTTGAATGATTGGATCCTTGTTTAGGAGATTAAACACTCACATTATATGAATACGAGGAATGAATGAAGCTAGCTGCTCTATTCTGGAGTTATTCTAGTGCGTCGTTTAAGTATGCTAGATGAGGACTCCAGACAGGCGACGCGTATTCAATTTGGGTGAGAATTAAAGATGTATAAGCTTGTAGTTTTACAGGAAGAGGAGCATGACGTAAGTGCCGCTATAAAAATCTAAGCAATCTGTTAGCTGATAATATGATATTGGTAATGTGGACGCGCCATGATAAATCGTTATCCAAAGTGACTCCCAAGTACTTGTATGTGATGATATTTTCCAATGCAACTTTACCGATTTGATAAGAATAGGTGAGGGTGCTGCGCCGACGGTGAAACGAGAGGAACTTGCATTTATTAGGGTTTAGTGTCATTAGCCAACGATTGCACCAGTTAAGCATATGGTTAATGTCATCTTGTAATGCAACTTGGGCTGATGTGTTAGTAATAGTACGGTATATAACGCAATCGTCTGCAAACATACGAATATTGCTGGATACGTGAAAAGGTAGATCGTTAATGTATATTATGAATAATAGGGGTCCAAGAACAGGTCCTTGCGGGACGCCTGATGTTACTGCCAGAGGGTAAGAGTTATGTCCATTAATGGTAACGAATTGGTAACGATTCGTCAAAAATTCTCGAATCCAGGTTAAAATTTTAGGGTCTAAGTTTAATTCCGATAGTTTTAACATCGGGCGGTTGTGGGGTACTTTGCCAAATGCCTTGGCAAAGTCAAGAAAGATAGCGTCAGTCTGTATGTTATTGTCCAGGTTAGTGTGCAGATTACGAACGAAAAGGACAAGTTGGGTTTCACAGGAAAAGTTTTTCGAAATCCATGCTGTGTGGAATGAAAAAAGTTATTATAGTCCAAGAAGTGCATGAGTTCCGTGTAAATGACGTGCTCCATGAGCATGCAAGGCACGCTTGTTAAGTAAATGGGGCAATAATTGAGAGGACATGATCTATCGCCTGATTTAAAGACTGGAATGACCTTTCCTATTTTCCAGTTTATTGGTAGGTTACCTGTGGATAATGACTTACAGAACAATAGTGATAAGTATATAGCAGACATGTGCTTGGTATTTTTCAGAAGTTTTGAGGTGATATCGTCTGATCCCGCTGAAGAAGAGAGATTGAGATTGTCTATTACCGACATAATTCCGGAAGTGAGGAAATCAATACTGGGCTTTACAGAGACGATGCTAGACGGAAAAATTGGAAAGGGACTGTTAGTTTCGTTTGTGAACACAGAAGCGAATGCTGAGTTAAATACTTCTGCGCATTCAGAATGACTAACTTCTTCGCCCGAAGGATTATTAAAAAATACCTGGAATTTTCTTAGGGTTAAGTACCTCCCAAAATTTCCTAGGGTTATTTACCAAGATCTTCGGAAGATCAGTATGAAGAAATGTTCTTTTTGCAGTTCGAATAGCATTATAATAAAAGGTTTTAGCTTCTTTACACCGATCCCATGCGCTGGCGGTTGCTGCGTGTTTAGCTGCACGAAAAAGTCGTTTTTTTATTTTCAAGTCGCTTTAAAAGTTTAGAAAACCATGGATTTCGTTTATTAGAACAGAAGGTGGTACTGGGAACAAACTTGTTTGTTGGCTCCTTAATTTTATCTTCCAAAATTAACCAGTTATCGTTCACTGATCGTTCACTTAATGTTGTTTCAAAATGAGGTAGGAAGGCTTCGAGTTCAGCGTTTATTGCGTTGTAATCTCCCTTGTCGTACAGACATATAGCTTTACTGCATGGTTTGCGTAATTTAGGGACGAATTCGAAAACAGCATAAATACCTTTGTGGTCGCTGATCTGAGGAACAAGTGTAACATGTGACAAGCTTTAGGGTTTATCTGTTAGTATTAGATCCAGAATATTAGAA